AGAATACTCGAAGATTTGGTTAGAATGTTTAAACAAAACATATCATTTTGCAACGAACTATATCAAATATGGTACTGGCAAAAATATCTATTTCGTTTGATTCCAATATATGGTGGACAAGACAAAGTGGAGGTTGAGAAAAAAAGTAAAGATACTGCGGATTGGGCATTGGAGTTAGTAGCGACGGTAATATGGAATATATTTGAGGTGGATCTTACAGCTTGCAAAGCAGTTGAAGAGACCGTAATATTCATATGGTTAAGTGGCCGACCTGATGCTATAGAGATCATTCGAACATTCCTTACTCGAATGCTTTTATTTACCATCAGAGAAATGAGGAATTCTTTTGGGGCCTCTTTTTCAAAGATAAAACGAGTAAGCATTATAATTCCAATTTTATCCAAATTACACTAGTGTTACGCTTTCTAAGGCGAGATTTACTTTCCATAACCACAACTATGTAATAATAGGAAAACGTCATGCGACTGATATCCATAACCGAAGAAATATTATTTAATCACAGAGATCTAGCGCAAACCGTGTCGCAAAGACAAACCTGCTATAGTAATGGATATAAATCATCTGGTAGTTACCCATCTTCAATTCGCTCCGCATATGGTAAATACCTAAAGATTTTCTTATTTTCACGTTCTTTCTTGGCGTTATAAAAGCAGAAAACAAAAAAAAATCGAAAAAATTTACTAATTTTAGAATCTACCATGCCGTCATTTAATATGCTGAGATTTGAAGAGACAGTGATCTCGAAGATTGAATCAAATTTCTCCGTGTTTTCATCATCACAAAAGAATGAGGATATGATATTTCAAAGTGCAAGTAATCCCTGGGAAGAGAATAGTGAACTGGCTGAGATGTATTTGGAGATCGTGGATAGTTTGGATAACAATGGTAATTGGAAGTTGGAAATGCCCGCGAGTCGAAATGAAATGGTGAATTTATATTGATCTTGTTTTTTTTACCGTTAGAGAATATGTGATTTTCAATAACATAGTTTTTCCTTTCCTTCAAAGCCCCCTGGCGATACTTGTCGTATGGTATTGCGCACTCTTATTTCCGGGATAACATTGCACAACCACGTATTACGTGAACGTACACTTGAAAAACTAATGGCATTTGTTGAAAGGCACGTGAGAATATCGGATGGATCGCCGGTAGACGAACAAAAGTTATTGGACAATTTCTATTGCCTTGACTGTGATGTCTTTGAACAACATATCCTTACGGTGCTTGGAGAAATTCACGAAGCCTTCATGCAAGTTTTATTTTGTTAATATATTATGTGCCTTGTAGATTTATGTTCCCTAACATTATTATTAACATCCTTTTCCTTTACACATTCTTTTTGAATATATAAATTATTAGAATCTCTCAGATGCCAAATGGCGCTTATGATCAGAAAACCTTACTTGCGTACTATTTCATACTGCACAAATGTCGTCACTATTTTGTGAACTTCGTGGACAGTGAATTCTTCACCACATCTATAGAGTCTATATGGTCCGGGACGAAATTCAATGACCAAGTATTTATAAATTTCGTCACATCACCCAATTGGATTTCCTTACACGACCGATACGTGGTGCCTGCCATGAAAACTGCAAGCGATAATGAATTTGCAATGGTGCGAAAGATGATGGAACGGTTTTCAAAAAAAATTGACAATTATATGAATCGTTCCAAGAAAGAGGACACCTACTCTTTGAAGTCAGAAGAAATGTTTGATAACGAATTAAACACAATTGTCAAGGCATACAGGGAAGAGGAATCTACGCGTCTCACTAGTCTCGAAGTCGAGAAGAGAAATGAAGATTTAAGAATTTCCAGGCGATGGCTATCAAAGTTTCATGAATTAACACAAGAACGTGGAGTTTGGTCATTAGGACGTCAAACAGATATTTATTGGAAATTAGATAGAAGGGAAAATTATTCGAGAATGCGTCGAAAGTTGACCATTAATTATGATTATGATCCACACAAAGAAGCTAGCGCCAAGCGAGACAAGACTTCCGTCGCGAATTCTAACAGTAAATCCAAGAATACGAATATTCAAAGGATAAGAAAGGCCGCGATTCCGGAAACGGGACGGTCTACAACGCCGATGCTTAATGCTGTGGAACCTTGGACGGATTCATGGGGTTTTACGGGTTCCTCATTGGTCTCTGAATCCGAAAGTTTAGAGTCGGATGATCAAGAATGGAACATTGTCGATGGCGGTGAAGTGGTGGATACCGTTGACCTTTCATCCAATTCGAATTTATTTACAGTGGAATGCGAGTTGATAGTCCTAATGTCGAATATAAAGGGTCGACTTGAATTAACGTCCACTCATTTATCATTTTTAGTAGATCGAAGGAACTTGTTGCAAGAACTTAACAACATAGAACAAGGATCTCTAATAATAGATAGTGAAATGTTGAGAGACAAAAAATGGTCAATTTCGGATATTCGTGAAATCCACATGAGGAAATATTTATTGAGACGAAGTGCATTTGAGCTATTTTTGACGGATCAAACGAACTATTTCTTTAATTTTCCCGAACCCAAGGATCGACTGCGATTATTTAACAAGATAACATCACTGAAGCCTCCGTCGATGCTAAATCAAGACACTCGTTCGCCGATCACAATATTCCAGCGGTCAAATCTAACAGAACGATGGCAGCGTCATGAGATTTCGAACTTCGAATACCTCATGCATCTCAACAGCATGGCAGGACGATCATTTAATGATTTAACACAATACTTCGTATTTCCATGGATTCTATGCGATTATGAGTCGGAGACGTTAGACTTATCGGATCCAAAAATTTATCGAGATTTATCAAAACCTATCGGTGCTATAAATCCAGTGAGGTTAGAACAGTTCATAGAACGATATGAAAATTTTGATGATCCATCGGGAAGAATAAAAAAATTTCATTATGGGACTCATTATTCAAGTGCTGCAACGGTCGCGTGCTACTTGATCCGGATGGAACCATTTACCTCAGTACACATATCGTTACAGGGAGGGAAGTTTGATCATGCAGATCGACAATTCCATTCACTTCATGATACATGGC